CCCCCCCCCCCCCCCACTCCCCAGAGGGAGGAGGGAACATGAGAGCGGGCGGAACACATCACTGCTGTTACTTCAGTCTCCCTCGCTCCCCCTGCTGATTGGCGAGGGGCGGCTACATCCGGGGGAGGGGGAGGCAGGGATGCCGATTGGTAGCAGGGCCGATCGCTCACGAGGCGGTGGCACGCCTCATTGGTGCAGCGCAGCCCGCGGGGTGGGCGGTAGATTCGCATCCTTGCACGCCTGCTCTTCCTTCCCCACGCGAGGCGCTGGGGTCGCCATGAGCCAGCCTGCGTCGCAGGGCGGCCGGCGCCTGGAGGCCACGTTCGTGCCGGACGAGGACGTGCTGCGGCACATCTCCGAGGACGCGGGTATGGGCGGGGCGGAGCGCTCGGGCCTTAGCGCGGCCGCTCCAACTCCGAGCTGGGTGTGCAGCCCGGGGCCCGTCTCTGGTGCTCCGCGGGAGCTCCCGGGCTCTCCTGGGGCACGGAGTATTGAAGCGGTGTAGCGGCAGCCGCGGGTTTTCTTTGCAATCGTAGGTGCTAAAGTGAAAAGGGACCGAGTCCCCCACGTGCTGGGCGCGAGGAGGCTCGCGAAGAAGCTCGAGAACATTTCGGATGAGGAGGAGGAGCAGGAGGTCCTGGAACAGCAGAGCTACGTGGCTGTGCTGGGGGCAGGCGCCCAAGGTATTGGTGGGGAAACGATGTCTGTCATTTCAGGAAACTCTTGCACAAGCTTATTAAGAGACAGCTGTTCGTTTTCAGGGAGGTGTTGGTGACAACCAGCTTTGGCTGCCTGTGTGGTTGGTTGGGGGTTGGCAGCTCAAGAACTGTTCCCCTTCCCCTCCCCCCCCTTTTATTTTTATCACATGTCTCATGTAAAACCTCCAGCATTGATAGTGAAACATCATGTCAGACTCGGACTGGTTGTTTATCAGATAGAAACCACTCTTTACCCATGTCTAACAGATTCCTGCAGAAATGGCCCCTGGGCAGGTGGTGGTGAAGTTTACTCCTTCCAGACTTCAAAGCGCTCCGGCAAGATGGCAGAGCTGGGTATGTTCTCCTCCCTGTCGTGGAGCGACGAGCTCCTTGTAGGCTCTTGTTTCGTTATCTTTTTATTAACATGAAGACTTATTAAGGTATTTGTGCTCTGTCAGTCTTGCAATTGACAGAGACCAGCACTGTGGAGAAAATTGGGATCTGGATGTGATGCGTACATGCTGGTGGCTTTTGTAATGCAGGTCCAATTTTTACAGAGGACCTATTCTGTATGCATGCAGCAATGGTTCCCCTTCCTAGATTTAGAGTGTTATTCCCACCTTTTTCAAATTTGTGGCACCTGTGGTTGAGAACCACTCTTCTGCCTCCTCAACTGGTGTTGTCAGTCAGGTGCTGCTGCAGCCAGGCTGGAAAGAACTGCAGTACGCATGTGCTGTCCTGTCTCATTCGAGTTCTCTGACAACTCTTAAGCAGGCTGTAGCTCCAGGCACTGACCTGGAAGGTGGGGTGCAAAAAGACCCAAAAAACAGTTGCTCCTGCAGCTGCAAAATCGCACCAGTACCACAGGGACAGCCTGATGATGCCTCTACCTCTGTGCATCACAGCTTCCCCAGGTACCTGACTGACTTGTTATGTCTCTGGGCAGGAGAGCTGGCTCATGCTGCATCCCTTATTAGTCTGACCATGCCTTGTGCCTCCCAAAAACAGAAGCGAGGGGCAGATGGAACAATCTTGCATGCCACTGTTTCTGGGAGTGGGGACTAGGGAGGGGAGAGAAAGGGGTCTGGAGCAGGAAGGGCTGTAGTATAAACCAGTGGGTCTCCTGTCTGCTTTGGCTTATCAGTAGACCCTAATGAGGCAGGAGTGTGTGTGTATGTGCTGCATCCCTTCTCAGTCTGGCTGTGCATGAGGTACTCTGGGTATGTTTACCTAACCATAGCACCCCTCAGGGGGTTTTGCAACATCTCAGTTGAAAACCAATGCTATAGAGGTTCCTATTCAATTTCACTAATAGCTTCAGGTCTTACAATAAGTGCTGTCAGCTCCCTTTTCCTACTTCAGTGATGAGCCCTTTTCCAGCACTATTTTGTTCCATGCACGGTGATATCCTTCAACCATGCACCTCAAGCCTCTCCATCCTTTGGCTTTGCAAGTGAAAAACTGAGGTTGGAGGAGTTCTCCAAGTTAATGCTGTGATTTTTAAAGCAGGCCTGGATTAGGAGATGCTGGGCTGTGGCTGGTATCATTGAAGTCTTCCTCAGTGGGAGTCTGGAGGTCTCAAAGAACTGTTAATGGGGCCATAGAGCCTATTATGTTCAGGTCATGGCATTCAAATCCAGACCATGTTGATAATTATCAACAGGGAATAACTTTAGCTTAGTTCTTAGGGTACTGATGTTCTTGGCACATAAGCCATGACCATATTGTCCAATTTATCAGGTCTAAAACAGGGGCTGCGACTAAAGTCTTTCACCTCTGGGAGCAAGGTACTAAGGTTAACATGCAACATAGGGAAGCTTGCTTTGTTTCTGCCGGAGCCATTCATTCCTGTGCTATCAGTCAAGAAAGGAGTTGGTTTTCAAGAACCTTTCAAGGGTACTAAATTTACTCAGTGTTAGAAGAAGAGAGGTGGTAAACTGAGGTAACCTGAGGTAGGGCAGTGTGGTATATTAGATAGAGTAATTGGTTCGAGAGACATGAGTCCTCATAAAGAACAGCCTACAAAATTGCAGTCTAGGAGTTTAAGATTTATAGACGTGTTCACTTGAAGTGATCCTAGCAGTTTACTTGTAGTAGTGGCTGAAATTAATAATGTTTTGTTGAAATTTATCTCTCCTTATTGACTGGCTTCAGGTGTTCAGGATTGATTGATTTACAGAAGAGCTGTATATGTGATATATCTTTTGAATCTTTGAGGAAGGTATGTACCTCTCTGAACCAGTTGGTCTTTAACGCCCCACGTACACGTTACACTTAAAACGTGACTAAATGGCTTATCACATCTTAAATTGTCACCTGCTCAAACTTTCAATCAATTAGCAGTGTGAAAAAAGGAAGAATAAGCCACAAAATTATTCCACAAAAAATGTATAACTTTTTTGCTCATTCTTATCAGACCATTTGAATGTGTGGCCAGGGGCCCAAGTGGCTTGGAGCTGGCACCTGCCAGGGCTCCCCAGGCACCCCCATGGCTGGGAGTCTACAGTTGACGGAGGCTTGTAGCCATGAGGGTGCCCCTGGCACCCCAACAGCTGGGAGCCCATGTCAGTTATGATCTCCAAGCTGTGGGGGATCCCTGGAGCACCCCCAAGACTGGAAGCCCTGTAGGTTGAGGGGACTCCCAGCCACAGGAGCTTGCTACTTGCTGTTGAAGGAGGAGCCTGGGCTTGTGATCCCAGGCTCCTCTTGCACAAGCAGTAAGGCGTGATGGGAACTGTTTTGCAATCCTGCAGTCATGCTTCCTGCCATGCACATGTGGCATGCATGGCAGGAAGTGCAGTTGTGTGGATTGCACTTCAAATACCATCACTGCTTTACTTGCATGTCTGGAGGGGCGCCAACGGCGCCACTCAGACCTACCAGCATTAGAAGGAGGATGGAATTGCCTGCAAAGTCTTGGTGGTATTAATGCATGAGAGAGTTACTGTGCATGCAACTGGCTAACCCAGAGATGCTGGTGGGAGGTTCATACCCACCATGTTTTTATAGTTTGCTCTTTTTTTTTGTTTTGTTTTCCCCGCAAAGCCTCTGAACTAGCCCAGACTCCAGGGAAAAATGTAACATTCAGCCGCTCGAGCAGTCCTGAGAAGATTACTAGCTCTCCTCCAAGCAACAAAAGTAAGTTACCAGGTGGATTAGTGAAATGGAGAAAAGTGACTAGAAGCCAGTTCAAACTGCAGTCAAGAGCTGAGAAGTGCAGGTGTTGTGGTTCACTAGGATGTCAGACCTTTTATTCTTTCCTTACTGGCCTAGAAGAAAATGAACATTTGGTCTTCCCCTCGGCTGTTATTTCACTTGCTAACTTTTTTTTAGCCAACCTGCTGAAACATCATTGTTATATTCAGTAGTATGTGTTTTGTTTGGAACTTCTTTGAGTCCAGTTTAGTTTGGAATACAAAGAGTAAGTCTGAAGTAGTTGGTGTAGCCTCCAAAAGGGACATAAACAGACCAACCTTAGCATATGCTTTTTGAGCACATCCCCAGGTACCCTTGCTAGCGATTTCCTGCAGACCTGTGGTTGGAATCTAAATCTGTCCTCTCTGGATAGAACTGTCAACTGCACTACTCTGGCCAGAGAATTAATATGTAGGAATAGTATCTCTGAGATGGGTATCTGATGCCCATGTTCCTTAGCAGGAGAAGCAAGATCATTTTGTGCTAGTATTGGGAAGGGTTGGCTGTGTAGGAAATATGTGGTACTCTATTAGATTCATTGGTATGTTTGCTTTGCAGAGCATTCTGCTTCAAATAAAGCCCAGTTGAAGGTGAGCATTGATTCTTCTTTGTTTCTATTTTAAGATATGAACCATCTGATTGTTATGGTATTGTGGGCTTGAAGATTCTTGCCCCTCTGCTTTTTCCAACATTTTTTCTGGGCAGATGTCTTTTTTAAGCAGGGTGAGAATGGATGAGAGTATTCCTGTCTCACAAATGAAAGTATTTGACTACCTTTTTATACGCAGATAAATGCTGAAGTTGTCAGTCTCTTGTAAAATTTATGCGTGTGGATTTCTAATCCTAACATATATATGGGTGCATCTGAAACACTAAACTACTGTGTTCTAGGCACTTCATTTTAGTGTCCATCAATAATGATGTAACCATGATGTTGGGGTAAGATCCAGGAGACTTGAGCCATCTTACAATGCAGTTTAGGTACAGTTCAGGGTATATGGACTTAATGCATGAGCAAGGCAAGCTTTCCCTTGCACTGTTACAGGAGCTTGTTCCAAACTCTTGAACTTAGATGGACAACCTTGAGGGGACAGGATAATTAATTGTCCATGAATCTGTTCAGTCTAGCCTCTTGGCTGAGGGTGCACAAGGGTTAGACTGATTCTCCTGATGTTTATGAAGTAAGTGCTAGGAAACAGAGACCACTAGACTTTTCTAAATGACAATGTACCTAGCACTATAATGGATATATGTGTAGTACTTTGTGGCATATTTAAAGTGCATTTCTAGTTTGATAACGCTTAGGAACTCTGTTATGTTTCTTGATCATTCTTAATCTAATTGCACAGCACTAAAAATAAATAAATAATGATTATTTCAAACTGCCTGGAGCCTGAACCCTGAACTCTTTCTGACTCATGCATCAGTAATACAGATTGTGCATATTGGTTGATTCATGAGCCTTCCTCTTCCAGGTCTGTAGAGGCTTTTTAGGCTGCTGGCAGAATGCAGCCAGCAAACAAAAACAGCAAGCTACTGCACAAAGTAAAATGATGCATCTGACTGAATACACAAGGGTGACTAGGGTGGCATTTATGCATAGTCAGTTCCTAAGAATAGACCTACACATCAAATGTGCTACTAAAGTTGCAGAAAATGCCTTGAGACCTATTATGTCTCTGTGATGTAAGACCTGCTTACATCCCGTCAAAGCTGTCTTTAGGGGTCCTTCTTGTCCGCTGTCCCTGACTTGACATTGTGTCAAACTTGATGAGAAAAGAGAGAGTGAGCCTGCAAGTCCTATGAGTTCTGAACTCTTGGACAAAACGCACACAATTATTCCTTCCTCCCCACTGAACAGAACTGATCTATTTAATAGGGGTGCAGTCAATGACTGGATGAAAGTGCTCACTGTTCTTCAGGCTCATCGCATAACAGCTGTGCTGCTCAGCTCTGCACAACCTCTTGTGGCTGGCCTGCCCTGTTTTTGGAAGGGTTTCTTTTTGAAGCTCCAGATGACTTGGAGTAGAATTTCATACATTTCATAGATATTAGGGCTGGAAGGGACCTCGGAAGATCATCCAGTCCAGCCCCCCACCCAAAGGGCAGGAAGTCAGCCGGGGTCATAGGATCCCAGCAAGATAAGCATCCAATTTGCTCTTGAAGGTGTTCGGAGGTGGTTCAAGCACCTACTCTGATGGCAAACTGTTCCAGACCTTGGGGGCTCGGACAGTAAAGAAATTCTTCCGTATGTCCAGCCTGAAACGGTCTTGCAGTAGTTTATGACTGTTCGACCTCGTCATCCCTTGGGGCACTCTGGTGCACAAACGTTCCCCCAGATACTGGTGGTCACCCCTGATAAACCTATAGGTGGCCATCAGATCACCCCGGAGCCTGCGCTTTTCCAGGCTAAAGAGCCCCATGGCTCTCAGCCTGTCATCATAAGGTCTGTTTTCCTGACCTCTGATCATGCGTGAAGAACAGTTACTTGCATGTCTCACCCTTGCCCTCGCTTCCACATTACTACTTCGGATACTCTGAATTGTCTTGTTCGGGAGACTCTTTTGCCCAGAGTTTAACATAGATGGCTTCTCTTTAACATAGATGGCTTCCCAGAGAATTGGGTGGGGATTATTCCACACTGAGAGCTCTCTTTCCTTATGCACAGACCTTACTGGTGTTGTATTCTCAGCCCTTTGGCAACCAAAGGTGAGAGCTCAAAAATAAAACCCTGGTCCTTTGCTTACAAAGAAGCTGCTACTGGTAGGGCACATGTGGCTTTCTTTAACACTTTTATGCTCTTGCAGAGTAAAAAGAATGAATATGTGTCCACAACGCCTTACAGGCTCAGGAAGAGACTTGCAGGTAAGAAGTAACTGGAATTTTAATCTTCTGTAGTAATTTATTTCCACTCATTGGCTAGTTTGAGGCATTCAGGATTAATTTAAGAGAGAGTTGCATGTGTGATGTGTCATGTTCTATGTTTTTGTCATGAGCGAAGCAGCAAATTAAAGCTGGACTTAGTAGGCCCAATTGGACAAGCTTTGTTGTTTGTGCTGTGTTCATCCATAGTGGAAATACAGAGTTTCCATTGAACTTTCATTTCCAGTAGGATTCTGTGAATACCATGAAGAGACTCTTATGCTTTTCTCCAAGTCAGAAAATTGGGTCCTGCCATGTTCTTGCAGTGTTGTGTATTTTACTTAGTTATCTTAGCTTATTGGTGTTCTCCTCTGCATCTAGATAACTGCTCACTGGTATGACTTTGGGTATTTTTCAAAAGCACCTAAATGACTGAGCATCACTGGATCTTACACAGCATCCAAGTCATTTTTTGAAAATGGGATTTCGGCTTTTAACTCATTTGTGGGCTTTGAAAATATTACTTTAAAAATGTACTTTAATTTTACTAAATTGTATCTGCTTTTCTTAGCACTTTAAAGCCATGGGAGAATGAGCCAGACTGTGTTCTTACTTTCAAATTAACAGATTCAGATGTGTTAACAGAATTTTCATTACAAAATTGTTATTGTTAATGGTGATATATTGATCCAGAAAGAATCCAACCTGTGTTTGCAAAACTGGAAGTTAAGGGGGGGGAAAAAACCCTTCCTACTCAGTCTAATGTGCATTCTTTTAGAAAAACATGGAATCCCATAATGTCCCTTTCAGAGTAAGTCTTTGGTGAAGAGCCATATTTCAAGGCTTGTACCAATTTACGGAGTCTTACTAAATAATTTGAAAGAGAAAAGATAGAATTCGGCCAGCATGTTTGCAGTTTTGATCAGAATAGGGTTTTTTAGGGTGAGTCCAGCTATGAAACAAGCATAAGACTTTGATGTTTAAAAGATGTATATGAGGTGATCTAGGCTATAGGAAATGACGAGGTAGTTTTTATAAAAGGTTGTTACCAGGTCTTAATCTCCTGAATATTTACTTCTTAGTTCCAGACTTTCATTCAGAAAGTGAGAGTGAATATTCTGCCTCATGCTCTGAGGAAGAGAACCCCAAAGAAACCAGTGATGAAGTATTCGACCGAAAGACCCCAGATAAAAGCAGAGTAGCTTCCACCCCATCTACGAAGAAAACACCAGCCAAGAAACTGAAGGGAGATAAAACTGTGAGTGTGGAGCAAGTGCAGCCATGAGGGGTAAGGTTTGGGGGTGGTCACTGGCAATAAGGCCATTGCTCTTGAGTCAGAATCTAGGTCAGGTCTGAGGGGGAGCAGGTCAGGTCTCGCACACGGGGTGAAGATGTGGCTTGTCTGGGGGGCATGGGGATGTGGGGGGTGGTCCTGTCGCTGTGTGCTGCTGGTCTGGGGGGCCACAGATCTTCGCAAAGTGGGCTAGGCTGGGGCTGCACCATGCTGTGCTTTGGGCGGGTGTGGCGGTGCTGGGAGCAGGGGCTATCCCCTGCTGCCGCTGGCCCAGCAGGGGCAAGAGGGTGCAGGACGAAGGTGTGGCTCACTCTGAGCGGGTGCTGGGAGCAGGGGCTATGCTTTCCTGCTGCTGAGTCTTGCTAATCCAGAGGCAGCACAGCAGCTCTGTTCTGCACCTGCCTGGAGTGAGACGCCCCTTCATCCCATGGCCACCATGCTGTGCCCCCACACCCCCCCCACTTGGGCCAGTGGTGGCAGGGCATAGTCCTTGCTTCCAGCACAGCTACGCCAGCGCAGAATGTAGTGTGGTGCTGCCCCATG